GAGCATTTTGCTGTGGTTCCAACTCCTGCTCTGGCCACTCTTCCCTTCTACTGAGTGGCTCCTCTCATAGAACTTTTCCAGGAACACACTGAGTTCACTGTAGAGGAAAAACTGAAGCAGAGTTACATATTAATAGAGAGGAGAGGGAGGAAGTACCCCACCAAACAATATCCCTGGCAGCCTGAACTCCTCTTTACTCTCTGAGCTGTTTTAGCATTCGAGGTGCATGTACCCAGATCCTGGGACCCGTAACTAGGCTTCAGCGTCTGTTGCTAAGGAAGGGAAACCTCTGCTGTGACCAGACACAAGACTGGGCTTGACTCAGCTGGTGTCTCCCTTTGCTGGAGGCCAGGCTGGGCAGCAGGAAGTGTTGGTGACAGAAAGGAAGATGGGGAGGGTGTCTAGCAATGATCTGGAAATGTAGAAGTGAGTGGCAATAAGAGACTGTGCCTTTGGAGAAGTCCAAATACCCAGAGCATGATGGTTAAAGTGTTGGGCTCCAGATCTGGACAGGTCTGGGTTTACATCCTGCCCTTCGCATGAATTAGCTGTGTGGCTTGAGCAAGTTGTTTAATCTCTCCAAGTGTCCTTTTTTCACATAAAATGGCAACAATGTGAGTACCTACCTCATTAGATAGGTTTGCAGATTTAATGAGATAATGTCTATAAAGCCATTTGCACATAGCAGGAAGACTACCAACTTGTCCCAGTTTGCCAGGGACTTCCTGGGATTTAACACTGTAAGTCCTGCATCTTGGGAACCTCTCAGTCCTGGGCAAAGGGACAGTCTAGTTACCTGACATGGGAAGTCACAGCTAACATCATTCTTGGCATAAACACAAAACACACGTACACATACACACACAAGTTACAATACTGGCTGCTCCCCAAACATTCATAGGTCACTTTTAGTTCTCTCAAAACCAAGAAAGCCTTGTTGAGCTCTTTTTAGGGTGCCGTGCTTGCAGACCTGCTTTTTCAATCTTCTCCTAAGCTCCATGTTGTCCCCATTTTATGGACAAGGAAGCCAAAACTGAGAGATAAACATAACTTTGCCAAGTTGACACAACACCTGAAGAACACTGATACAATTTGAATCTGGTCTTTAAGACTCCAGAGACCAGTACTCTGTCCATAAAGGACCTGTCCAGAACACAAACATTTCTGAGATCCTACAATGAGCACTGCATAACACCAAACACTTCCACTTCTCCCTTTCCTTACTTCTTTCTCAAAGTTGGGCTCTCCATACTTTCAAAATAATCTTGCGGTATCTCACCTCTTACATTTGTACTACCTGCCATACAACTGCAAATAGCTTTTGGAATGAATGAGCCAGTGGCAGGGTTTCAGACTTTGGTTGAGACAGAAATGGGATAATTACAGGCCTCCTATAATAGAACATGAAACCCCATGTCCCTCCCGAAAAAGCCAGTGGCTATAACCTGACAAAGTAAAAAATTAGAAAGGGTCAGGTAAGGTAATAAGGAGCCCCATGACCCTGTAAGTGAGTAGCAGGCATGCCTCCATCTGAAATTTAGTGTGCTTTACATCTACCTGTGTTCAAAAACATCAAAACAATAAAAACTGCTTCCATTTATTGAACTATACTATCTGCTGGCTCTGTGCTCAGGACACAGTGAGCATCATCTCTCCAAATCTTCTCAACAACTCAGACAATAAGTGCTATTATTATTCCAAGTTTTATGGTTGAAGAAACAAACACAAGCAAGTAAAATTACTCAGCTAGGTCAGTGGCAAAGTTGGAACTTGAACTCAATTATGGAATCTGCTCCATGGCTTTAACCAAAAACCTACATGTGGTCTAAAGAAAGATGGAAACTAAGTAAAATATCTATCACAGAGAATGAAAATGCCATCTTCCCCCTACCACCACCACCTCACCTGCACCAGAATTGTCTGACTTCACATACTGTTTAGTAACTCCCAAGAGAGGATGAAGGTCTCAAGTCCCTCAGTCCTTCAACTCCAAGGACATTGGGCTGCCAGATAAAATACAGGACAATCAGTTAAATTAGAATTTCAAGTAACAGCAAATAATTTTTTAGTAAGTTTATCTCATTCAATATTTGGGACATACTTACATTAAGAACTTATCTGTTGCTCATCTGAGACACAAATTGTACTGGGTGTCCTATATTTTTATTTGCTAAATCTGGCAATATTGGGAGAAGAGGTCAGCTAGGGTCTAGGTTGTCTGCTTCTATGTGGTATTAACAATTTTGGGTCTCAATCTGTTGCTGGGAAATTTTCACACAGTTCTTATTCAAAACCCAGTGCTCCTGGCTGGCCGATCTTTTCTGAGGCCTGAAACAGTTGCTTAGCCAGAGTTAACTGTGAAAAGGCATAAAGAGGCTGCACATGGATTTATTTTATTGACCCATCAAATGGTCCTTAAGAGCCAAGTCCTGCTACTATGGATGGATGCTAAGATCCTGGCCATCGGAGAACACAATGTGGTGGAGGGCAGCCAACACAACAAAAAGCAAAACCTGGCTGGCCCTACAAGTGGGAGGAATCAGAGGATTCACAGAGATGCCCCTAGATGGCACCCTTGAGCAAAAATCCCAGAGCAGGCACCAATTCCACTTTCAAAGCAACAGCTGCCAAGAAATGATGGTAGTAACGTTTTGTTCTCAAGTAAAGATCAAACCAAAACAGAAAACCCCAACCTGTTATACTGAAGTTGAACAAAGCATATGAAGCCACGCGTAACTGCCTGAAACTTAATTTAGGACACTTACCTGTCCATGTCTTATCTCCCCATTAGGTCTCTTTTTCTGGACTGTTGTGGAATTAAAGCATAATTCTTTGGCTTATTTGTATATGCCCAAGCTTATTTATCTATCCACCAGCCTGATTATTACTAGAAATATAGTTTCTGGAAGTAATATCATTAAATATTTTTGAGCCTCTCCTATGTTCCAGATAGATGCTAAGTTTTTTACAGCCTTTACTGTACCGGTCTTAATTACAACCCCATGACTGCTTTTCTTTTTGCCTAAGAGAGTTATTTTCCAGGTTGCTATGGACACAGGTCACACAGGAGAAGTGGGTCAACAGAGAACACTGGATGCAAAGTGCCTGAGAACTATGTAGTAGCAGGCCAATGCTCAGGTGTATCATTTTACAGATGAAGCCGAGACAGGTAACTAACCCAAGGTCACACATCTAGAGTCAGCCCTGAGACCAGGGCCCAGAACTACTGGACCCCCTAGTTCAGGGTCTTTACCAGTTTGCTCTATGGCAATGGTTTTCATCCAGGGACAACTGCCTCTTGGGGAACATTTGTCAATGTTTGATAACATTTTTGGTTGTTTCAACCACGGGGAAGGGGAGGGAGTTCTACCGGCATGTAGCCGATTTGAGGCCAGGGATGCTGCTAAATATCGTACTATGTATAGGACAGGACAGCCCCCTCAACACAATTTTCCCACCCAAAATGTCAACAGCGCTGCCCACTGAAAAGCCTGCTTTTTTGGGCTAGATTTGCGGCCAGGGAACCTGTGTTCCACCTCTGACTACGAACTGAGGGTCTCGGCTTTATACTTTTTCATTTATAAAAAATGGAGACAGTAATCTAATCCATCTTTAAGGCTCTCACGGGCTCACGACATTTTCATTTAAGAAGAAATAAGTAAAACCTTCCCGTCAAGCGTACCTCATCTTGTGTCCTGAGCTCCAGAGATGCTTCCAGAAGAGGTGGTTCGGGTGTAGGCATTTAGGCAGAGGCGGCACTAAGACACTGCGAAAACCCAGTCTCAGCTCCAGTCCACCTGTGACGGGGACCTGAGCACTCTCACTTCAAGCCAGGAGTGTAGGAACGGCAACTCTCTCTGGGCCTCAGTTTTCTCCTCTGTAAACGTCTCAGGGCTTTTCCGGGTGGCTCCACAAGGCTGAGGGAGAGCGCGCTTCGCACAGGGCCCGGCGCAGCGCGGTAGCTTGGGGAGCCTTTGCGGGAGCTTTCCAGGCGTCGGCGTCAAGAGCCCAGAGATGGGAAGCCAGGACCCAGCGCCAAGACCTTGGGGGTGGGGTGTGGAGGCCCGCGGAGGAAGGCGACAGGGGAGCGGGGCGTGGCAGGGCGGAGGGAGGCCGGCGGGGGGCGGGGCCCGGGGCGGAGGTGGAGGGTGTGGAGGAAGGCGGTGTAGGTGGATGGGGTGGAGGAAGGCGGAGGGGGTGCGGGGCAGGGCAGGGCGGAGGGAGGCCGGCGGCAGGCGGATCCCGCGGCTGCGGGGGCGGAGGAAGGCGGCGCGCGGGACGTGATGTGTGAGGGGGTCTGAGGTCCCCGCCCCGCCCCGCCGCGCCTTCTTCCTCCTCTGCCGACCCCTCGCTGTGCTCGGCCTGCGGACGTGAGGCTGCGCAGCCTTCCCCGCCAGGCGAGAGCTCGAAGCGTGGGCGCAGGGATACCTAGTGCCCCGGCAGGCTGTACCCTTGGCCGCTGGGCGAACGGAGGAGAGTGGGGACGGGGCTTGGGAGGGCCTTGGTACGCCTCGCCTTCGGCCCTCGATCACAGTTTGGTAAGAAGAGGGTCATCCTTCTGAGCCCCTGGGACGAGCTGAGAGGGCGCGCTCACGCACACACGCACCTACCACAAGATTTGGTAGAGGATTCTCAGCCCCATCCCACTCCGAGACCCTTGCCTCTTCTTAGGAAGCCTAGCTGGGGAGTCCCCAAACCGCGTCCCCGGGGTTAGTAAACGTGTGTGTCCTCCTTATTTCCTCACTGAAGAGAGGGACTCTCTAAGTCCCAAAGGCGATTCTTCTCCCTCCCCCTATTAGTGATAGGTGTTCGACTCCCCCTGAGGTCCCGTTTCTCAGTCTCAGTGCTTTCTCGGGCGCGTAGCCCCGCTCCACCTGCTTCACACCCCTTTCCGCCTCCCCTCGGACCTCGGGAAACTGGGCGCTCGCTCCCCGTCGCGTCTGCCCTTGGCGGCCTGGGTAGGCCTGAGGCGCCCCACAGTTACTGTCCCCCAGCCGGAGATGCCGCCCCTCTCCCTCCCCGCTGGAGCGTTCAGGGAAGCCTCTGACCCCCGAAAGTGGAGGTGGGGGAATGTGTGGAGAGCCGACGGTGTTTGGGGAACCGTGGAGGGGAGCGCCGGTTGGCCGATGATCTCGGCTCAGCCCGGAAGGCGCTGAGAAGGGGAATTTGTGGGCTGTGCTGGGTTAAGGGGTCGCCGTCTCCTCTCCTGGAGACTATTCAGTGCTTGGGGAGACCCTTTCGTGGATTTGGTGACCAAGGGGCCTGGGGATTAGTGACCAAGTGGATGCGTTTAATGGCTGTGGCCAGCGGCATTCTACCCACGCTCCCCCACATCGGCTTCTCAAACCAGTTACGGGTGCGCCTTGGGTTTCCCAGGCCCCCGGAGCCCTGTAAGGAGAACTGGGTTTATTTCTGCCTGCCTGTTGTAGAGATGAGATTAGGGGAGCTAAGCACTGGGAACATCCCCCAATTCAACATCAATGCCAGCAGCAGCTTTAAAGACAGAATAAGGGGTAGAGGGGTTAGTCCTTCCTGGTCGAAAGGGTCCCTGTTTCACAAAAGGGATTGTAGCAGAGGATCTCTAGCTGATTAAAATGTGCTTTAATTTGCATACTAGATCCTGTTGATATTATTTAATTATACTTATACCCCCTGTAACTCACAATTACCATGATAAATAAATGGAAGGATCTCTCCGTTGATTTTGGTAAATTATGTGAGGTTTAAATGTGAGGATCTCAGTTAATTTTGGCCACTGTGACAGACTCTTTTAGGTGTTTGTACTGTCAGTCAGGAGGTCAGTTGTCCTAGAGAAATGGGAAAGATATCTCGGTGTCCAGCTATACAGTTCTGGGAAATATGAAATAAGGATATACTTGTTTATGTGAAAATCAAACAAGGTTTAAAAAATAGATATCTAATTTAAAATGTTGCTTTTATTAAAAATAAATAATATATGAGATTGGGACAGTCCTAGAAATTCCAGTCTGCTAAATTAGAGTATAGTTGTGACAAGGTCTCCATATGAGGCCCTTCTCTTGTTAAGGAGAAGAGATTTACACATGAGTAAATAGAAAATTATTTATGGCACAGTGTGATTGGGAACCAACCTGTTTAGTGTGGGTAGTAAATAAAGAAACCGGCCAGTGCCCCTGTTTGAGAAAGACTTTCTGGTTAAAAAAAGAAAAGGGCAATGGGACTTGAACTACTGTATTCAGCTTCCTTTCTTAGATACTCTTTTCAGTATTTTGTCAGGCTAAAAAACTCTCAGAGATAATACCATAACATTTTCTTACATGTCTTAGATCCTTTACTATGGAATATTTTATAACTTTTTTCTCTTATGGCCATATTTTCATGTCACTAAATAGCCACATGATCATTTTAATGACTGTACAATATTGTATGAATTTATCATTATTTAACCAATTTCTTATTAATGGACAGATAGCTTCTTTCTAGTGTTTTGCTATTTTTATATATTATAACAGGGTGCACTGCACATCCTTTTGGTACATTTTGATATACCTGTTTGGTTATTTCCTTCAGGTTCCTAGAAAATAAGTTGTATCAAGGTGTATACAGTTTGAAACTTTGATAGAGATATCACCAAACTACCCTCCATCTGCACTCACCATCAGTGTGTGAGGTGGTAGAAGTTCTTGGTGAACTAGTTGGCTGAAGATTTTTAATGCTTTAAGATAATTTTTTTTTTCTCCAGTAACAGCAAGAGAGGGTGACATGAGAGATTTGCCTGCCCACTGCACTGGAGAGCTTATTGGTAGAAGAATTAATCCCTAAAAAGACTGAAGCGAGTTTGAAGATGGCGAAACAGGAGAGGAGCCCTTAAATACCTCAAAGGACTTGCAGGAGCTTCAGAGGAAGCTGTCTTTGCTAATAGAGTCCCTCCAGAGTAAGGTCAGTTTCAAATCAGGATGTATATTGGAAAATCCCAAAATAACTCTAGCTTAAACACACCAGAGAAAGGTATTTATCTCTCAAGTAGAAAAAGTTTAGAGGCAGTACAGGAATTTTCCTAGCTCTCCACCCAGTCTTCTCTAAATTGTGACCGTCGAACTCATTGTCCAGGATGGCTGTTAGAGCATCAGCCATTGTGTGTCCACATTCCAGGCAATAGGGTAGGGTAGGGGGTGGGAATGAGGAGAATTGCAAGCCACCTCCAACCTGAGGAAACTTCATGGACGTCACACATACAACACTTCAGATTACATCTCACAGGCCAAAATTTAATTATATGACCACCCCTTGCAGCAAATAAAATTCTTAAGCTGGATATAGAGAGCCAACTCTTAGTTTGTGCCACAGATACCATCTTTTTCTGTTTTGTAGTTAGTTTTGACCTGTTACCGTGAAGGTGAGGGGCTAAAGCTGTCTTGATTTGAGTCTAGTGTACCACTAGAAACCAGTGTCCAGTGACATATGAAGTGAGCCACATATGTAATTTAAAATTTCCTAGTAGCCACATTTAAAAAGTAAAAAGCAGGTGAAATTAATTTTAATAATATAGCTCATTTAACCTAATTTATCTAAAATACCATTTCAGCACATAATCATTATAAATTATTAATGAAAAAAGTTACTGAGATGACGGTGCCTGCCGTTGAAGTCGAACAATCTGAAGGGGAGGCGTGGAGCTGAATATATGTACAACTCACTCTGAGAGGACGCCCCACGTTGGGCATGAGATGTAACGTGCCGCTCATCTTCTTTGGGTGAGAGAACAAAAAACACAGACAACACAGACAGACAGACAATGGCTGCATCCCTGAAGAGGCGCAGCACCTTTATTTTTATACTGCCTTTCTTGGACCTCAGCCAAGTGCTATACTCCTCTTTCCCATCTCAGGGGGGGCAGGCCAGAGCACCTTGTTGATTTTCTTAGAAGCTGCCTGGTAAGCAGGGGCAGTGTTTTTACATGTCCTCAAGGTCTCCCTATTTTCAGAGTGAGGCGTCTTGGCTCGTCTTCGAGAACAAGATATGTTTTGTGGGCAGATAACTTCCAAGGACTCCACCAGTTGTTTTCAAGCTGGTGCTGTGTTCAGACATGGGGGAAGGTGCTTTCCCATTCTGCCTACAAACATGTGAGAAGACAAAAGCCGTCCCCAACACTGAGATGTTTTACGTTCTTTTTTGTACCAAGTCTTTGAAATCCAGTGTGTATTTTACATTTTCAGCACTCTTCAATTCAAACTAGCCACTTTTCAGGTATTCAGTAGCCAATTCAATAGCAATGGGAGTCGAGAGAGTATATTCTGCTTTCTTGTTTATTTATCTTTATTGCTTTATTTTATATGCCTTGCAGCATTTTGTCAGGGAAAAAATAACAGCTCTCAGAGATAATATTATTAATATTTTGTTGTATGTCCTTCTGGACTTTTTCTATCTAATATATTCATAAAATACTCATGTATATGTGACAGAATGAACTGTATTACCTATTTTTTGTGTTGGATGGCACAGTTCCACTATGGTCTATTGGAGGAGACACCATTTTGCAGTGGAGAGCAATGTACTCTGTAGAGATCTTTTCTGGATTCATTCCAAAATGCCTCTGGCCCTCTGTAGATTTAAGCTATTTTTAAATTGAGCAAGCAGATTTCTAGTCAGCAGGATGAGACTCTTGTTACTAAAAGTTAGCTCAGTAAGAAAGGTCCTCATGCTCATCCACATATACTGTTGATTTTCATTATATGTGTTTGTTATGTTATAAAAAAGTTACCTCAAATGATAAATTAGCAATACTGCTTCTAGGCAAAATACAGGATTAGGTTCTACCAAACTCTTGTTGCAATATTTTAATTAACTGAGTAATACGTAACCTACTTTATATGTACTTCTATTTAAAGACACCTTATTTAATGTATATTGTTGGTTAACAGTGAACTCATGGCCAGCAGCACTGTAACTCATGCCTGAATGAAGCTTACCCAATACATGTATTTTGTCTGTAAGGCACATCACAGCCTTCTTACACTAAGGAGCACTAGATATCACTTTTGCATTAAGGTGCCATTTAAATGGCAAAATCACCAACAAAAAACATTAAAATGTGGGAAAAAAAGGCAGAGCTAAATAGGCCTTGAGAAGGACAGTTGTTTAAAGAGTTGAAACAGGACAGCAACCTGTCACCTCATTCAACTTCAGCTCAGAATGTGCTACATTTATGTCCACAGAAGCACCACAAATACTGATTTGGGGTTACATACTGATTTTAGCAAGTAGGTGAATTTGCAAATATGGAATTCACAAATAATAAGGATTGACTGTATATTAGTTAATATTGATTGAGCAGTTTCTATATTCCAAGCACCATACAAGGCACTTGGCATGTCTTATTTAATATTCACATATGTCTTCTGAAGTAGGTGCTTCAGCTTCTCCACTTCTTTATCTTCAGTCCTCAGCGATGGTCATTGGAATAGATATGGGATAGATAACTTCCAGGCCAGCTGACTCCCAGGATGATGGGACAGATTACCAGTTGACTAAGCCCTCATGTCCTTTAGGTAGTCCTGAGGTAGTTTCTTTAAGACTTTTTATTGTATTAATTGAGTTAATTAATGTTAATTGTATTAATTCAATAGAGTAATATTGGAGGGAAAAGGAAAGCAGATCACCTGTAAACCCATCACTAAGTAATCCAGTAGTGGTGGTGGTGATGATGATAATGATTATTATACCCCTTCAATCTGTCCTTTTTACATATAATGGTTGTAATTGTGGCAGATACAATTCCGTATTTTTATTTTTGCTTGATTTTTTTTCCATATTGAAATGTAGGTGTTCAGAACAATTGCTTTTACTAATAGAACCTCCCATCAGATTGACATAACAAATTTACATAGCCATCCCCTCATTTCTGGGATGTTTATGATTTCTTCCCCCAAGTAATTTTTAACCTTTCCTCAGAGTTAATAAACCTTTTGAATTCAAGATAGGAATAAGTGGCTTCCAGCTGGTGTGTTTGTGAAGCAACTCTATCATCCCTCCAGGAACTCTCTGGAATACATCATTAAGTCTGAATTATCTTACTTCTGGGCAGAAAAATAGCTTAAGCAAGCAAGGAAACAAATGGTGAGACTTGCCGAGCCTTTTGGGAAATGTTAGGCTATCTTAGAAGCCATGGGCAATAAATGAAGCAGGGCCTAGCCTTAGGAGGGGTTTGAACCAGGGTCTGGCAGGTCACAATGGTTAGAGGTAACTCTCAGCACCGTGTCTTGGACCATGTTGCTTCTCGCTGTAGCTTTTCCCCGTGTATCTGCTTCATTCTCCTCTGCAGCTGGCTCTCTTGGCTCTTCCATTCACACAGGTCGACATGACTGCCAGGCTGGCACCCTCAGCTCCCCACGTCTCCCTCAGCTCCCATCTGACATCCTCTAAGGGACCTGGTCTGAGAGTGCCCAATTCCTAGGAGCAAGAATCTGCTTGATAAAGTCACCTGTGCCAGGGAGGTGGTGGCTGAGCTGGGGCTTTTCATTTCATTGATACAAACACAGCTTCAGGGGCCTACCTCTGCTGTGGGAGGAGGCAGTGTTCAGAAATGAGGAAAGAGAGATATGGAGCCTGGGCTGGACAGATGCTCTCTGATAGCATCTCCTTAAGTGGTTTACCTGTGACAAAATAGTTTTGCTCCCATGCCGTTCCTTTACTTCCATAAAGGATGTTTTTGATTGACCTCCTTGGCATCTGTGTGCCAACCCTGAATCACAATGTACCTACTGGCACCCAGGCACCATAATTTGGGAGAAACTGTCACATAGCACCTTGGACTTGTCATTACCAGTGGTTTTAAATAATCCTGAGACCTCCACCTCTGGTAGTAAGGGACCATGGGTGCTGATTACCTTTTACATTCTAACACCAGGGAATTGGCTTGTCTCCTGAATAGTCCCAGATAGAGCCTCGTGTCCTTGAATGATGGCCATGTTGTTCCTACTTTGGAACCTCCCATATTCGTGTGCATTTTAAAATAAATCGCCTTTATCTGACCTTGGGCAGTTTGCTTAGGCCCATAGAATCTCCATCTCCTCTAAAATAAGTGGTTCCAAGCTCACAGATTTGTTGTGAGGATGATCTCATGCTGTTTGAGAAGGTGTTAGCATAGAGCCTGACATATAGTAGTGCCTATGTGTACAGTCTGGCATTCCCAGGCTCTTCAGCACAGCACCATGCCAATAGAATATAGGTTGGATAACCTGAGCACACTTCCAGGATGGGGATGGAAAAGCGCAACACATGTTACACATTAGTAATAAACTCTCCAACTTTCCATCCTCCCATTGTGTCCTCCTCTGTTGCTATATTCTAATCCCTTGGATTTAAGTAATGTTAAATTGCTTCTCATTACCTACCTGTTAGCATTGTAGGGAGAAATAAGTGAGGAAATACATTGAAAGCCCTTAAAACAGTACTTGGCACCTGACTGTTGATGAATGTTCTCTGTTTTCAGGTGTACCTGAATCATGTCTTCCCTTCTGTGACAGACTGCTCTGAGCAGACCACACTTCCTGGGAGAAGACAATTGCCGGGCTAACTGTCTACATCTTAAAATGGTTTCTCTGCATAGCTGGATGACTTTCTATTTTGGTTATAGAGCCCAGACTCAGAAGAGGCTAAGAAAAAAGTAGATTCCTTTGGGACTACACGTAGAACAGTCCTGCTTTTCTCCTCTTGGATTCCGTGCCATACTGACCCCAAGTCCTGTTGATTTGTCTTTTGTCATTCCATTTTGATACCACACCTCCTGTTCCCCTTACCTCTTTGCCATTAGCCTAGATTTGGATATCAGGATCTCAGTATCTCTTGCCTAATTTTCTGTAATCTTTGTAATTGCTTCTTGCACTGAACTGCCAGTTCATCTTTCTTACCTTATTCCTTCAGTTATGTCATAGTCCTGCCCAAATACCAGCAGTTTGTTTCCTGTTTTTTTCTAGATAAAGTTTAATGAGCACTTTCCAGTGAAAATTATTATGCACCCCAAGTATATCATTTTAAATGGTCTTATAGTCTTATGAAAGAGCATAAAGCAAAGCATGTGAAATTAATATTAATAATATATTTTATATAACCCAGTATATCTCAAACAATATAATTTCAATATGTAACCAATGTAAAAAATCAGTGATGAGTTATTTTGCATTCTTTTTTAAATACATTTAGTGTATATTTCAATTCAGATGCTTAATTTCCATTGGAAATACTTGATTGCCCATCAGATTTCATAAAATTTACAGTTAAAATTTATTTGAAACATACTCAACTTACTTGAAATGTAATTTAAAATTTTCCAAAGACTGAATCAAATATCAGTTTTTAAATTTAAATAAAAAATCCAGTTCATCTATCACACTAGTGACATTTCAAATGCTCAGTGGCCACATGAGGATACTGTGCTGCAGTCTGGGTGAATCTCGTAAGCCTGGCGTTCTGGTGTTCCAGCCTCATGTACTCCTCCTCACTGTGGTTACTAGGTCTCTTGATTATAAGGGTCAGTGAGAACAGTTCAGTCTGTCAGATGACACCTGGGGGTTTCCTAAGGACATGTAGACTAGAGCCAGAAAGTAATCAGGACACAGCTCAAGAGACCAGCCCCACTTCTGAGGCCCATCTACTTCTCTCACCTTCACTAGCCCTCACAGGAGAAACTCTGGGGGTTCTGATGCTAGAGGACCCTAGCTGGGCATTCCCAGCTCAGGTGTTCTCTCACCTTCACTAGCCCTCACAGGAGAAACTCTGGGGGTTCTGATGCTAGAGGACCCTAGCTGGGCATTCCCAGCTCAGGTGATTCCTGTTATCCTTGCCTCTGGCTAGAGAACATTTTGTCAAACTGGAGTGGCTGGAGGCAATGTAGCCAGTGGGCATTTTGCCATTTTGTGGCCTGGCAGGAAGTGAAATTTGTCATGCCTCAAGATTTACCAGGAGGCAATGCTGAAGTCCTCAGACCCATAGCTTTTTGGAATAGCCTTTTCTAGTTAAGCAGAATGAGCCCTGTGCTTTGGTCACTGACAACTCAACCTATAAAACCCTCCTACCTTCCCACTTGCCCCCAAATGCCCACCATTTGAATCACAGTGAACAGCTATTCCTAGGAGGCACATGTGTTTGGGTAGTGTCCTGTAAACAGTAGCTTGAATTAGGTCTGCATTCCAGCTACTGGCCTATGAGACACAGGAAGGACCAGTTTTGATGGGAAATTTTTGGAATGATGGAACATTTCAAGAGAACAGAAACTTGCATGCCAGTACCCAGAGAAAGACAGCATGGGGCCTAAGAAGGGAGAGGAGACCCATCCTTGTGGAAATGCCCAAGGTCTTCTCTGTATTAAAACAGCCTTCCCCCATTAAGCCAGATCTAAAAACCCTTTTGCCTGATGAAGGAAGATAACCTACTAGTTAATGCAGCATATGTATGCAGTAGTAGTCACGATGTGGCCTGGCTATAGTGTCCAGACTGATAACAGAAAAGCACTTTTCCTAATGAGGTGGTAGCTGTTGAAAGCATTTGACATTTGGAATGAAAAAATTTAGTTCTGAGTGTCTACATTTTGTCACTTGGAAACTGTGTGACTCTGGAAAAGTCATTTAGTCCCATTGTTTCTCAAACTTTAATGTGTGCACAGATCACCTGAGGATCTCATTAAAAAGTGGAATCTGATACTGTAGGTCTGGGGCAGGGACTGAGAGGCTGCATTTCTAACAAGCTCCTAGGTAATGCCAAGTAGCCAGGATTTAACCTCTCCATGCCTTATAGTGACCTCAGCTATGAAACCTCAGCTGTGAAGTGGGAGGCAAATTGTATGTACATTGCATCAGTGCACACATATGCTGAGGGTGTCTTCTGAGAGGGTGTATGTTAAGCAGTGGAACCATGACTGGGTCTTTCCTCCTTTCACAACGTTTGAGGTTGGGTAGGGCCCTAAAACTTGCCATCTGTCCACAGTTGCCTTAGTTGTCACTGGGGTGACTCATGCCTTGGGAGGACTATTACTGTTGACTTCTCACTTATGAGCCTTCAACTTTACTGGTTGTACTTCCTGCAGCTCGAGCAGGTCCATCGACCTGGGTTTGACATGGCATTCAGTCCTGGCTCTTTCCCTTTTGCCCATAGGTGGTGGCCTTTATGAAGTCTCCAGTGGGTCAGTTCCTGGACAGGCATTCTTTTCTGGCCCTCATCTTGCTGGAGTTTATCAGCCATCCCTGTTGGATTCTTCCTGCTCCTTGTGGTTCTTAACTCCATGGCTGCTTTTGTGGGAGTTATATTACTAGAAGGTATCCTGCTCAGTTATTCACTACTTTGGACAGTGACTCAGGATGACAGTGTTTATTGGGCATACGCCACTCTTGTCAAAGGTTCTTGTCAAAATCATATTCACCAAGGCACCTTATCAGAATAGTTAAAACATAAACTCTGGAGCCCACACTGGAATCCCATCTCAGCCAGCATAATTTTGGAGAAGTTATTTACCCTCTGAGCCTCAAATTCCTCATGTGTGGAATGGGGATATAATAATACTGTCTAGTTTGGAAACTAGTTCCAAGGAGTATTAGGATGTGTGGCACAGAGTAGCTTCTCCATGAATGCTAACTGTCGTTAAACAGCAAGGACATTCACTCCACAGCTAGCATATTTAGCATCTGTTGCATGAGGGGTGCCCTGCTAGTACTGATGTTCTCTACTTTTCCTCCTGAAGTGCCACCACCAACTGTCTATTTCTCTGTGTTGCTAAGTTCAGATTACTCAGAAAGCAAATCTGATTGGCTCAGTTTGCCTTTTCAAATCAGATCTCAAAGCCCAAGACACTGGTCAAAGAGATGGTTGCCATTGGGTGAGGTGATCACCTTTGGACCCATCCTATGGCTTCCCAGGGATAGGAGCACCCAGAGTTGTTTTCATGCCCAAGGGACTGTGAAAAGGCAGTTACACTTGAGGCAGAAGGTTAGCATGGTAGGCAGATGAGCCAAATATAGCCTGGCAGAGTGGTTACTCAGTAAATAGTGATGGATAGATGGGCAAATGACTTCATGAAAACTATAACAAAACTAAATTTAGAAAGAAAGAAGCCCCTGCATTTTAGTGGTATTGTGCATAGCTTTACAGAAGAACAGGACTTTAAGATGTATTAAAACTTTGTTTCCTTTGGGCAAGGAAGGTCTTTCCAGATAGAAGGCACAGCATGTGCAAAGCCTTCAGAGCGGTGGTTCTTGAACTTGAGTATACATGAGTCTTACTTGCCTTTTGAAAATGCTGATTTCCAGGCCTCCTCTGGAGATTCTTATTTGGTAGATCTGGAGTGGGGTCCAGAAATCTGAATTTTTAACATGCCTTCTTAATGCATCTGATTCTTATACAGTGTTGTTGGCCACGCTTTGAAAATCACTGATCTAGGAATTTGACATCTTTATGACAAGGCATTGCATCTGCTTCCTTCCTATCCAGGGCCCATTCCTGACACTGTCACTGTGGCTATGGGGGTAGAGTACTAGACTATTTGACTACTCCCACAGCAAGGGGAAGGATGTTTGCCATATAACCCTTGCCTTGCAGTGGTACCCACATTGGTAGGTAGATAACCTCCTTTTTTAAGAGATGCCAGAAACTTGGATTTTTATGGGAATTCTCTTCAGTGGAAAAATCTGAGGCAGTCGTCATTGTCAACACAGTGGCCCAGGGTGTGGTAGCTTTCAACCTGTTTTAGATGAATGCTCCTCCTAACCTTGCTCTCCCCTAGGACTAGTCATCGCTGTGGGCAGCCTCTCACTGCTCTGTGTCCTCTGTGGTCTGGGCTTCATGTTACTTGCTATGCTGGGAACAGTCATGTGTCCTACATCATGGTCTCCAGCCATGTCAACTACTGGTTTTCTTCCAGGTAAATGCATGTCAATGCACTAATTTGGAGGGATCTTCACAAATAATACCCTAATTCCAGTCAGTGTGTAGAAGGCAAACTGTAAGAGGCAGGTGTTCCTCACAGTTTGCATACATGTCAGATATCAAATGTGAATTTACACTGGAGTTTCAAACACAAAAATTGCTATTATTATCCACCACACATGATTACTCATTTTGCTGTCATGGCCACTCTATAAGGTAATTATTGATTCCTTTAAAAAAAATACCCATTAAATTTATAAATATTCAAATTAAGGTGTCCTCGGGGGTGGGGAACAACAAAAACAATGGGCCACCATTCTGCTCAGCGGGCCTGTAATTGGGGTGGTTGGCAGCCATGAATCTGGTGTTCCCACAGTCTGTCTTGATCCCTTCTCCTCTTCAGAATCTGAGTGTCTGTCCACACTGAGTGTGAATCTTGTGTTTGAATATATAGATTTTGTTCCTACATTATGGCTTCTAAATGCCTCATCTGGGGCCTCAGCTGAACGAATGGTGATCAGTTTAAATGCTGGAGAGAAAACCAGCTATGTCGAAATTATTGGAAGGTAGTGTTTTTCTACTAAAGGATTTTCAGAGGGGATTTTTTTGTAATGCTTTATTTATTTATTTATTTATTTTATTTATTTTTTTTATTAAGGCATCATTGATATACAATCTTAAGGTTTCACATGAGCAACATTGTGGTTACTACATTCCCCCTATTATCAAGTCTCCCCACACACCTGATTGCAGTCACTGTCCATCAGCGTAGTAAGATGCTATAGTGTCAATATTTCTCTTCTCTCTGCTATGCTGCCTTCCCTGTGCCCCCCTTATATTATGTGTGCTAATCATAATATTCCCTAATCCCCTTCTCCTTCTTTTCCTGCCCACCCTCCCCACTGCCTTTCCGCTATTCCATTCTTGAGTGCTGTGAGTCTGCTGCTGTTTTCTTTCCTACAGTTTTTGCTTTGTTGTTATACTCCACAAATGAGTGAAATCAGTTGGTACTTATCTTTCTCCACCTGGCTTATTTTACTGAGCATAATACCCTCTAGCTCCATCCATGTTGCTGCAAATGGTAGAATTTGTTTTCTTCTTATGGCTGAAAAATATTCCATTGTGTATATGTATCACAGCTTAATCCATTCATCTACTGATGGACACTTAGGTTGCTTCCATTTCTTGGCTATTGTAAATAGTGCTGCAATAAACATAGGGGTGCATATGTCTTTTTCAATATGGGATCTTGTTTTCTTTGGGTAAATTCCTAGGAGTGGAATTCCTGGGTCAAATGGTATTTCTATTTTTTAATTTTTTGAGGAACCTCCATATTGCTTTCCACGATGGTTGAATTAATTTACATTCCCACAAACAGTGTAGGAGGGTTCCCCTTTCTCTGCACCCTCACCAGCATTTGTTGTTGCTTGTCTTTTGGATGTTGGCCATCCTAACTGGTGTGAGGTGATATCTCATTGTGGTTTTAATTTGCATTTCTCTGATAGTTAGCGATGTGGAGCATCTTTTCATGTGCCTATTGGCCATCTGAATTTCTTCTTTAGAAAAGCATCTTTTTAGATCCTCTGCCCATTTTTTAATCAGGTTATTTGCTTTTTGGGTGTTGAGGCATATGAGCTCTTTATGTATTTTGGATGTTAACCCCTTATTGGATATGTTGTTTGCAAATATATTCTCCCATACTGTTGGATGCCTTTTTGTTCTGCTGATGGTGTCCTTTGCTGTACAGAAGCTTTTTAGTTTGATGTAGTCCAATTTGTTCGTTTTTGCTTTTGTTTCCCTTACCCAAGGAGATTTGTTCAGGAAAAAGTTTCTCATCTTAATATTCAAGAGACTTTTGCATATGTTTTCTTCTAGAGTTTTATGCTTTCATGACTTACATTCAGGTCTTTTATCCATTTCAAGTTTACTTTTGTGTGAGAACTTAGACAGTAATCCAGTTTCATTCTCTTACATGTAGCTGCCCAATTTTGCCAACACCAGCTGTTGAAGAGGCTTTCATTTCTCCATTATATATATCCATAGCTCCTTTATCTTATATTAATTGGCCATATATGTGTAGGTTTATATCTGAACTCTCTATTCTCTTCCATTGATCTATGGGTCTGTTCTTGTACCAGTACCAAATTTTCTTGATTACTGTGGCTTTGTAGTAGAGCTTGAAGTCAGGGAGCATAATCCCCCCCATTTTATTCTTCTTTCTAAGGATTGCTTTGGCTATTCGGGGTCTTTTGTGGTTCCATATGAACTTTAGAATAATTTGTTCCAGTTCTTTGAAGAATGCTGTCGATATTTTGATAAGGATTGCATTGAATCTATAGATTACTTTAAGCACGATGGCCATTTTCACAATACTAATTCTTCCTACCCATGAGCATGGGATGTCTTTCCATTTATTGGTGATTTCTTTAATTTCTCTCAAGAGTTTCTTGTAGTTTTCAGGGTATGGATCTTTCACCTTCTTGGTTAGGTTTATTCCTAGGTATTTTATTCTTTTAGATGCAATTGTAAATGGAACTGTTTTCCTGATTATTTCTCTTTCTGCTAGTTGATCGTTAGTATATAGGAATGTCACAGATTTCAGTGTATTAATTTTGTACCCTGCAACTTTGCTGAATTCAGTTATTAGTTCTAGTAGTTTTGGAGTGGATTCTTTGTGGTTGTTTTATGTACAATATCGTGTCATCTGCAGACAGTGACAGTTTAACTTGTTCCTTACTGATCTGGATTCCTTTTATGTCTTTGTGTTGTCTGAGTTCCGTGACTAGTACCTCCAGTACTATGTTGAATTAATGTGGGGACATTGGACATCCCTGTCTTATTCCTGATCTTAGAGGAAAAGCTTTCAACTTTTTGCTGTTAAGTATAATGTTGGCTCTGAGTTTGTCATATATGACCTTTATTATGTTGAGATACTTGCCCTCTATTCCCATTTTATTGAGAATTTTTATCATGAATGGATATTGAGTTTTGTCAAATGCTTTTTCAGCATCTATGGAGATGATCATGTGATTTTTGTCCTTCTTTTTGTTGATGTGGTGGATGATGTTGATAGATTTTCAAATATTGTACCATCCTTGCATCCCTGGGATGAATCCCACTTGATCATGATGGATGATCTTTTTGATGTATTTTTGAATTCAGTTTGCTAATATTTTGTTGAGCATTTTTGCATCTATGATCATCAGGGATATTGGTTTGTAATTTTCTTTTTTTATATAGTGTCTTTGCCTGGTTTTGGTATTAGAGTGACTGATGCTGGCCTCATAGAGTGAGTTTGGGAGTATTCCCTCCTCTTCTACTTTTTGGAAAACTTTAAGGAAGGTGAGTATTAGGTCTTCTCTAAATGTCTGAAAAATTTCAGCAGTGAAGCCATCCGGTCTGGGGGTTTTGTTCTTTGGTAGTTTTCTGATTACCAATTCAATTTCATTGCTGGTATTTGGTATGTTCAGATTTTTTGTTATTTCCTGGGTCAGTGTTGGAAAATTGTATTTTTTTAGAAAGTTGTTCATTTCTTCTAGATTATCCGATTTGTTGTTATATAATTTTTCATAGTATTCTCTAATAATTCCTTGTATTTCTGTAATGTGTGTAGTGAATTTTCCTTTCTCATTTCTGATTCTGCTTATGTGTGTAGCCTCTTTTTTTCTTGATAAGTCTAGCTAGGGGTGTATCTATTTTGATTATTTAATGAAATAATCAGCTCTTGGTTTCATTAAGTCTGTCTATTGTTTTATTCTTCTCAATTTTATTTATTTCTTCTCTGATCTTTATTATGTCCCTCCTTCCACTAACTTTGGAGTCATTTTTTCTTCCTTTTCTAGTTTCATTAATTGTGAATAGACTGTTCATTTGGGATTGTTCTTTCTTGAGATAGGCTTGTATTGCTATGTACTTTCCTCTTAGAACTGCCTTTGCTGTGTCCCACAGAAGTTGGGACATTGAACTGTTGTTTTCATTTATTGTCTCCATATATTGCTTGATCTCTGTTTTAATTTGGTCATTGATCCATTGATTATTTAGGAGCATGTTGTTAAGACTCCATGTGTTTGTGAACTTTTTTGTTTTCTTTGTACAATTTATTTCTAGTTCATACCTTTGCGATCTAAGAAGTTGGTTGGTACAGTTTCAATCTTTTTGAATTTACTAAGGCTCTTTTCGTGGCCTAGTATGTGATCTATTCTGGAAGATGTTCCATGTGCACTTGAGAAGAATGTATATCCTGTTGCTTTTGGGTGGAGTGTTCTGTAGATGCCTGTTAGGTCCATCTGTTCTAATGTGCTATTCAGTGCTTCTCTCTCCCTATTTATCTTTTGACTGGTTGATCTATCTTTTGGAGTGAGTGGTGTGTTGAAGTCTTCTAAAATGAATGAATTGTATTCTATTTCCCCCTTTAATTCTGTTAGTATTTGTTGCACATAACTGGGTGCTCCTATGTTGGGTGCATTAGTATTTATAATGGTTATATCCTCTTGTTGGACTGACCCTTTATCATTATATATCTTTCTTTGTCTCTTGTTACTTTTTTTGTTTTGAAGTCCAATTTATCTAAGTATTGTATCTCCTGAGTTTTTCTCCTTATTCCCCCCTTATTTTTTGCATGAAATATTTGATCCCATCCCTTCACTTTTAGTCTGTATGTCTTTAGGTTTGAAGTGAGTCTCTTTAGGCAGCATATAGATGGATCTTGCTTTTTTTATCCATTCTGTAACTCTATGTCTTTTGATTGGTACATTCAGTCCATTTACATATAGGGTGATTATCGATAGATATGTACTTATTGCCATTGCAGGCTTTGGATTTGTGTTTACCAAAGGTTCAAGGGCAGATTCATTACTATCTAACAGTCTAACTTAACCCCCTTATTATGCTATTATAAATACAATCTAAAGATTCTTTTTTTTCTCTCTCTCTTTCTCCCTTTTTCTTCCTCCTCCACTCTTTGTATGTTTGGTGTTGTATTCTGTACTCTTTGTG